GGGCAAACGTAGCGTCGCTTCGCGTTAGCTTCGCGTTAGCTTCGCATCCTCTTGTTCATAAAATATTTAACTGATGTCCTTAATTGACTAGCAAATGACCTATTTATATAACAAGCTCTGGCAGCGCCTACAGCTTTAATTCAGATAAGCCGGTTGCAGGGTCAATCAATTGGTCCCAGGCTTCACTGCCATTGCAAGGACTGTTTGCATACATAAATTCAAGGTACTGCGCCTTTAAGGCCAGATTCAAGTACATTTTGGTTTGTGCATGTAATGCTATTTTAATGAATAAAATTTTCAAGTTGCAAAACTTTTGTGGATATTTGTAAATATTATTGAAAACAGTGAAACTTTACTGAATTATTAATACGGATTTATCTTTTGATTTGATATGAATATGTATTTTGTTTGTTAACAAGTTTAATCTTTCTGCTTTCTGCAATCTGGTAAAACTGATAATTACCCAGCCCTATTTCAAAGACTGTTATTCTTTAAATTATAATACCAAGCGTACCATGCACTGATATTGTTTTTTGGTATTTGTAAAGTGACAAGTTGCTCGCACGATCTTTCTGCTTTCTTTTATCTGGTCACACTTATTATTGCCTTCAACTACCTTAAAGCTATTAACAGTTCTTTAAATATACTGACCAAACAATTGTTCAATACACAGATATGTTTGCAATGGAGAGGAAACATTTAATTAAAGCAACTTTGCAGTGTGATTCCAGCGGTTAACAGTCAACCAACACACACTTTCGCTAACACACCCACATACGTAATGCAATAATTTTGTTCCCGAAGTGTGTGTGTGTGTTAATTACAGTTAAACATTTAGCAGGGCAACCCGCATGTACGTTAACTGCGGACAAGATATAAACAGGACCAATGAGTATGCCGCCTAAGCCATGAGGGTAAACCGCATTAACACACGCACACGCACTAACATACAACAACAACAACTGATGCTGGTTTTAGTTGCTGCAATCGTAAGCCTAATTAAGTTTACTTGTATTTTACGAGATACAGCCGAAAAAATAAAGTAACTAAAATCCTTGCCAAATAAAATACTTAATCGATGGCGAAAGAGCTGGCGTCATGGCTCATCAATGTGTGTTAATGCTAATTGTTATTGTAGTTTGATGTGCAGTTTGCAGCAACTGCAAATGTGCGTGTGCGAGTGTGTTTATTGGGTAACAAACTTAAAGTGGCTGAAATTTTACCTCAAATTGAATTTAGCGATGTGTGAAAGCGTTGCCATACAGTTTCAATCGCTTAACTCAATTTGGCGCCTCAAGAAGTTTTTCGGGACTACCGCTGCCCTTACAATAGAGTATACGACGACATCCATTCCAACTATTTTCGTGCAAATCAGATCAAAAATATTTAACAAAATTGTATTAAAAAGTTAACGAAAGGCTGACAAAATGTGCAATTTTGACAAAAACTTTACTTGAGGTTTGCTGAGTTAAGTTCTAAAAGTCCAAAAGTTGCGACTGAGCTAAGAAATGTTAGAACTTGTAGAGCAAAGCGATGTAAATAAATAAAGAAAGTTTTTGATTAAATTTAAAGGCATACATATAGCCGGTGACGACACACAATAAGAGCTTAGTAAATTTGATTTTTTTCGAACATTAAACCAATATATAGAATTATTTTCTTTGTGTTTAAGGATAAAAAGTTTATGATTAATATATAAAACATTATTTATAAACTTGTTAAATATTTTAAAAAATCCTCGCTATACTAGATACAATTATATATTATTATATACATTTGTTCTTTGGAAGTATTTATCTGGGAAACCTATTTAAGCTTAAGTAACATCTCAAATGGATATTTGTCAGCTTAGTGTTGACGGGCAGTCAGGTTAGTAAAATTCCAGAAAATTGCGTTCTATCCCATTTTCGCTGTCATAACGTGCCCTTGGATTTATCTATGACAATGTCAACTTTTTGTTTTTATTATTATTATTTTCTCTTATTTTTTGTTCTTCTTGTGACAAATTGTTTTCTGCAGCAGCTAAACCTGAAATAAAATGCAAACTTTTAGTCATTGTAGAGCAGCGGGCAATGCGAACTAGGAACTGCGCAGTGGGCGAGACCGGGTTGAGAGGTGATGTATCGAAGCATCGGGCAAAGTTTAAACAGGAACAAGCAGGGCGTAACTGTCAACTGGCATGGGTTTCACAGGAAGCGTGGGAGGGCTTAAAAAGGCAGCGAGAGCTGACACTTCATTGCGATCTCTCGCGTTGTGTCCCGTGTCAGTTGGCAAACTTTTTGTTCTGTGGCTGCAGCATCGCATAAATTAGCCAACATGAGGCGAGGCGCGTGACTGTTGCCTGTTGAACAACCCCTTCGACCAGCGTAAATCCACTCATCGACCCTCCACCCCCGCCCAACTTAGCTCCACACGCATACAAATGACTTACTGATTGACTCGCTGCGAGGACTTTACTGACCGCGCGTTCGTTGCAAATTAGCCGTGTTCGTGTCGTCGAACGGGTCCAATGTGGAAGCCATTGGCCATTGGCCATGCAACCAACGTCAGTACGCTCGGCCCTTCACCTAGCTCAGCTTCATTTGCAATTAAAGGCTAGCCTGTGTTTGGCCGAAAATGGCAAGCGCAATTAATTAAAAAGTTTGCTGCAAAAAGTGCAAGGCCAGCAGCTGTGCGAAGCGCGGCGTGGGCTTTCACTTTGATGGATAAAGCTCAACAAATATTTTTCCAGCTGGCAATAAATACACAGCAATAACTTTTGTCTCTCTCTCTCTCTCCTTCTCTATTTGTGTGCAAATTGAAATTGCGCATACGACAGGTGGACTGGCTGCAATAATTTCACAAAATTTCACTTGATATGTATATGAATTGTTGGTGGTTAATATACCTCATTTTATGTAGAGGTGAAATGATGTCTCATACGACCAATAATTTATAGAGAAACTGTCATAAGGTATGTCTTTGTGTGTGTAATGCGCACTTTAACATTGCGTATACGACCAGCTGGTCGAAGACGCTTATAATGGACATTCTTTAGATTGCTCTGCTTTAGCAGTTAAGTTGATTGTATTGATGTAGATGCATAGAAGGGCGCGCAACAAAGTAAAACTTTTGAGTTTGAGTACAAATATAAACTAATTGAATTTTTGTTCGCCTACGTTCGACACAAGCCGGAACGAAATTGTTGCACACTGTTGGGATAATGAGGCATGAAAAGCACGAGCAACAGCAGCAGATGAAGGGACTGGCCACGTTTTATGTCTGCTCTATAGCTACTTGGCCAAATTGTTGCCGGGTTGTAAAAAAGTTTACAACAAACGCGGCAGCCAGCTCAACCTGGAGTTGGGCAAAAATTTTGCATGCCGCTCAGCTACATGCGGAGTCGTCACTTGAGGCTCCCATTGCTGTTGTCTTTGATAAGATGCTGGATTGTGGAAAAGATGTGGCAGTCTACCTGCTGTGATTTATTCAATCAACTTGTGCGTCGCGTCAACAGCTCAAGTTCCTTTCATTATTTAGACATCTTCTGTACTGCTTGCTGCTGCGTCGTCTGCTGCTCATGCCTTACGCGAATTTAATGTCAGATGACTGCCTAAGCAGCAAACGTTGTTGCCACATTTAATCTGCATAATTTTTATGAGGCAACAACAACGGCAGCAATTGTGGCGCTCGTGTCGTATGCGCAATATGCCAAAAGCTTCACTCACATATTATGTCGCATACTTCTGGGGTCTGATTTATTTAATTGCCCACAACACACGAGCCGCAAGTAATGAAAACAGAAATTGCCAATGATTTCTTTAATGAGCAACACGCAAAATGTTCCTACAAGTTGTTGCCTAACAACATTATTGTTAAACCTCCATGAGTAACAATGCTAAATAAATAATTGATTTCGCTAAAGAAAGCTGTTAACTGTCAGCAGCGTTGGCTCTCCGACGAACCCTTCGCCCTTAACCCAAAGCACTTTGCCACTGCCACTGGCTTAACCCTGGCCTTAACTATTACCAATTGGTGCTGTTCGGTCGGTTTATTGTTAATAAAAATAACCTGGAGTTAAATGCTCGTCATGTTCAGCTGTTCATTTATAAAATATTTGTAATGCGATTGTTGCAATCAATTTAATTGAGAGCTGAGCTGCAGCAGTTGCTATTTTCCATCCAACTTTCGCAGGGCAACAGGTGCAACAAGTCAGGCATATAATATGCAAATTGCCGACTGAATACGGAAAACACTGTCAAGCAGTCGTAGTCGGTGCTATTGACGTCAACCTTCCGCTCCACTTTCTCCTCATCTAATTGTCAATTGCTGTCGCACAAGCAATTTACCAGCTCACTCAGCGTAATTGATCTTAATATTCCGTGGGAATATTTCCAAATACCATTGATATGGAAATAAGTACGAGGCTCCTTAGTTAACTATCTACTAAGCACGCATACATAAAAAAAATACATCTGTAAATATATTTAACTTTCTATCGATTTCATTCGAAGGAGAACTACTCAAAATATTTGTAATTTGTGTAGTTTTTTCCCTGAAAGAGATTTATATACTGCCTGTATCTATCTATAGCTATCCGTATCTATATCTGTAGCTGTTGTCTTTATAAGAGAAAGATTTCGATCTCAATTAAACTCGTTAACCTTGGCCATATATACCATATACAAATTTTCTCTAAGATATCAGAGAAGCTTCAAGCACATAAACGTTTTTACTGCTCTGGGAAACTAAAGTGCTCAACTAATAGCTCTCAGTCGTCGACTATTTAGTGGACTCCAAGCGGGTAATTAAAATTTTCCAAACTTAACGCCTGGCCACGCCCACTAATAACAATTAGGACTAGCAAAGCGCGACACTTGGCTGAAAACTTTTAAAAGCTCATTAATGCATAAATTAGGCTTCCCCCGCCCATTAGGGCGTCTCTGCTCTTTTCCTTCGTGCAACACATTTTTGTTTAAATAGCTGTGCAGCACGCGGAGATGAGCAGTTGCGAAGCAAAGTGCTGAAGGCATGGCCAGTCTGCAGTTCCATGGCGGCAGCGATGAGAATGTGGCCTATGCCGAAAGGGATCTGGACGTGCAACGGGTGAGACAGCTGTTCGGAGTTCACCTGAAGATACAATGGGCAATTGGGATGATGCCTATGCCGTCGCTCCCCGCCTGGTTGCCCGACTGGCTGCAATCTCTGCTGCGCCTGTTCACCGTCGGCCATTGCCTGCTGGTGCTGTCCATATCGCTGCATCTGGGTCTGCTGTTCTCCAAGACGACACTGGATGCTCTGCCCACGGGCAAGCTGGAGGACATCACCGATGCGCTCACCATGACCATCATCTACTTTTTTACGGCGTATGCCACCAGCTATTGGTGCTTGCGCTCCAAGCGAATGTTGCGATTTCTCGCCCATATCAACCAGGGCTATCGACATCATTCGCTCGCCGGCGTCTGTTTTGTAAATATGCATTCCACTTATCGCTGGTTTCGCAGCTTTACGCTGGTTTGGCTTTCGGCTTGCCTGTCCGGAGTCATCTCCTGGGGCATCACGCCTTTGATGATGGGCAATCGGACGTTGCCGCTGCACTGCTGGTATCCGTTCGATGCCATGGACGAACACTTCTATTCGATCGTGTATGCCGTTCAGCTCTATGGCCAGATCACTGTGGGCACCGTTTTCGCTTATGGTGGCTTTATGTTTGTCTCCCTCTCTTTCCTGCTGCTCGGCCAGTTCGATGTGCTCTACTGCAGTCTCAAGAATCTGGATGCACACGCCAGGCTGCTCGCTGGCGAGTCAGTACAAGCATTAAGGTACATTTTACCAATTGGATTGGATTTCTTTATTGTCATTTAATTATATTACATATTGATTTATAGTATTTAAGCTTAGACAAAATATTTTTTTATAAATTTGCAGATCGATTGACCCGATCTAGTGTACCTTAGTCTAATGTATAATTTTTGGTACCAAGTGTGTACTCTAATCACTCCAAAATCGTTTTTCTTAGTTTAACAACACTTCCTTTACAGCGCTGCCACTTCAGACTTAATTTGAAACGTTCTCATGTTGTGGCCTGTACTTATCGACTTATCGAAACTTACTTTCGTTCTTACAGAGTTGCCATCTAGTTTTACTACACTTGCTTTTCAGCCTACAAGCTTGTTTGACATTTTTTTATTTTATTACTAATATGCTACTGTTGTACAGCAGATGATCTCTTGCTTCTGCGGGTCGACTTTCATTGCCCTATACGGAGATACGGAGATAACCTATAAAGTTTTGAAAGTTCTTAACTAATTGTATTAGTGCCGATCTAGCGATCTTAGTAAAGGATTTTTTGTCTTTCATTGTCAGTGTTCTACAGCGCGAGTTGCTACTGGATGATGAGACCCATGAACTTGGCCAATATGCGGTGTTGCATGAGCATGCGACGGATTTGCACAGCTTTGTGCTGACACGCAGGCAGCCGCCGCAAAGCCTGACAAAAGCCGCTCATGGGGCGCTGGTGGAATGCGTGAAACTTCATCACTTTATACTGGGTTGTGCCGCAGAGCTGGAGGAGCTGTTTAGCCCGTACTGCCTGTTCAAGTCGCTGCAGATCACGTTGCAGCTGTGCCTGCTCGTCTTCGTGGGCGTGTCCGGTTCACGGGAGGCGATGCGTGTCATCAATCAGCTGCAGTACCTGGTCCTGACCACCATCGAGCTGCTAATGTTCACCTACTGCGGGGAAATGTTGCGCCGGCACAGCATTCGTGTGGTCGATGCCTTCGGGCGCGGCGCCTGGTGGCAACATGCGCCATCCATGCGCCAAGACTTGCTCATCTTTCTGGTGAACAGCCATCGGGCAGTGCAGGTCACAGCGGGCAAGTTCTACGTAATGGATATAACTCGCCTCCGTTTAGTGAGCATATCAGCTTGCTGTCATGAATGCCTATTCAAACTTTACAATTTTAAACACTTCTAGGTTATCACGCAGGCCTTCAGCTTTCTGACGCTGCTGCAAAAGCTCGCTGCCAAAAAGCCAGTCGCCGAGGCCTAGAGCCGTGTCCGTGCAACCCCTTTGTTTGCCTGTGTTAATATTTATTTAGCTCATTAAAAACATGTCAGAGTAAAGTGCAAATAATATTTGCGTACGTTTCCGCCTCGCTAACATGTTCGCTTAACAATGGGCCGAGTGGGCGAGCGGGAGGTCGTGCATATGCCCACATATACATACAGACATATTAGATACGCCTTTGGCCTATCTGTGATAAGAAATTGGGCAAACAGCAAGTCGAAAATGTAATGCTCTCTACGATGGCACGATATCTTTACTATATGCTTACAACGAATGTCAAAACTTAACAGCTGCTTGCAGTTTCCATTGTAAACGGCAGCAATTTCAGCACACAAAAGTTTAATGCTTAAGCAGGCAAAATAATGACAGCGAAAATAGCTAAAAGCTATTTCATTCATTTATTTTTGTTGCTCGAGTGGCATGCCTATCTTTAGAACAAAGTTTTGCAGATTTGCCAACAGCCTAAAAGTCGACTTTAATTTTTCTGTTCGTGCGTCTTACGTACGAAAACTTATGGAAAAGTTTTCAACTCATTTGCGCTTTGCATTTTTCATACAGCCAAAGACAGACACATACACAAGTTGTGTGTGGGCGTGTGTGTGTGGGTGTGTGTGGGTGTGGGTGTGTGTGGGTGTGTGTGACTGTGTCTGTCTGTGTGATGGCAACTCGTGTATTTATAGTGAGTCATTTGTTTCTGTTTTTGCTGCCGCCTATTTTGAGGCACCCACGTACTGCCATTTTGGTAAAATACTCATTGAAGTCGTAGTGAAGTAGGGTATATTGAAGTTTGTTTAAAAGGTCAATAATCTATGGCTGGAACACGCAAAGGTGTGAGCTCATGTGAGACATAAATTGCATTTATATATAATTTTTAGTGCGAGTAATATTCAGGTTTACAGGGTATCTGCTAGTACAGCTGTTTGTGTTCTTTCATGCTGTTTTTGCCTGTATGCTAGATTATTACCTTTTTGCCCATTGTACTTTCTGGAGTTTCGTGTCGTTTCCGGAAATACCTTTCAGTTTGTCGATTTGTTCCTTTTGCTGGCTAACTACCGTTATGCGTGTCTGCCGGAGAACCGGAGAGCCAGGCAGCCAGGGAGCCAGCTACATTTATATTACATGCTATTTGATAAGCACAGTGCACAAGAGCAGCTGTAGATAAATGTGATTGCCATATTTCGCTGTCATCCATGCAGCAACAGCAGCAGCAGCAGCAGCCATGCCAACCAAGTCGCAATTGAGCTGATGCCAATAATGAGACGAATTGCGCGCTGGCTGAAATGTTTCAATATCCAACGCAGAAGAGTTTTGCATTTAATGCCAGCTGCAAGCTGAGCCTTAAATTTGCCCCAGGGAATTGCTTGGCAAACAAATAATCAAATCGAAATGGGAAACTGATAGATTGAGCAATTGAACCGAATGGCCAATAACATCTTCTGCATCCAAAGGACGAACAGAGCGAACAACATTGATTGTTCATTTGCCGAATGATTTCGTAATTTTCTTGACTTTAATTATTCTCTAGTAGCTGAAGCACAGTACATAGTATATAGCGTCTGCTGTGTAGTTCTATTAAATTCGTTCGTTGTTCTCTTGTTGTTTTGCAGCGCAACAAGCCAAATAAGGGCTTTCGTGGAAAACCTAAAATGTTTGTGGTCCGTCGCAGAAATGCGCGAAAATATGTTTATAAACTAATTTGTTTTGTTTTCGAGTTGGCCTCTGTGAAAAGTTGAGTGAATGAATAACAATCTTCTGCTCCCACAGTTTGAGGCCATTTATTTGGATAGCGCATGCCAGCTGTCTGTCAATGGCCTGGCAGCCTGGCAGCCAGCCAGCTAACCAAATATCTAGGCCCGCATGGCATTTGCCATTGACGAGCCAGCGCTACAGGCAGGGACCTGTCGACAACTTTGAAGTAGTCTCTACCAAATTAAATTAACACAAAGGCATCTCGCTTCAGCATTTCCTACTGACAGCTGGCGGCATTTTAATTGAAAGCAATCAATAACAAGTAAGAAAGCTCTAGTCGGGGTGCCCGACTAGGAGATACCCTGATCCCAGTCCTTTGAGTTTTGTAATATTTTCCGTAGTTTGTATCGAGTATTAAAAAAAAAAGAAAACAAATAAAAATCGACATTGCGAGACCAGGATTCGAACCCGGATTATTTGCGCAACGTGCACAAACTCTACCAACACCGCCACTTCATAACTAAAAAAAAAAAATAAATAAATAATATAAAACAATAAAAAACATTTCATCTCCTCTGGTCTCGAACCCGGACCAAGCTGCATCCGAGAGGTGCCTCTACCAACGCAGCCACTGCCCTTCTTACGCGAGCTGTTGCAAATTTGAACATAAGTAGCAGCTAATAATTCAGCACAATTCAATCGCAATTTCAATTCTTGGAATAGAAAAGTATACACGCATTTGAATGTATGTGTGCACACGCATAGGAAAAATGCGTGCGCGTGGCGCTGCTGACATGTGCTTTTGCAAATTGGCCAAACGTTTTGTTTAATAACTTCTGTTTTACTTAATGGATTTTAATGAAATTTTCAGCATATGATCTACATATCCTATTGGCTTGGTTGAGATGCAAACGCCTTCACATAATGGCCCTAGTTCCAACTAAACTTAAATTCTAAGAATTTGGGGGAATTTGGAGCCGGTATCCAAAATCCAACAAAAATCAAAATTGCATAAAATATACATAACACTAAATACAAAATTTGGAGGCTCTAGCTCTTAAGACGTTCGAGATATAATTTATTTACTGCATTTCAATAATGTTTTTATTCGATAACAATTAAATGCGAATAGTTATCGAATATTTGAAACAAACTTGACCTGCGCGTGCTATACACGGACCTACAAAAAAATTTCAAGTCTCTAGCTCTTATAGATGCTGAGATCCACGCGTTCACACATACGGACAGACGGACAGACGGACAGACGGACAGACGGACAGACAGACAGACGGACAGGGCTCAATCGACTCGGCTTGTCGTCCTGATCAAGAATATATATACTTTATGGGGTCTGCCACGCCTCCTTCTGCCTGTTACATACATTTGCACAAAACCATTATACCCTGATTTCCCATTTTTAATGGGATCAGGGTATAAAAACGCGGCAACTCTTCCAGCTTAGACTTTAGAAAAATAGCTGTCAGCAGAGAGTACCACTAAATATATCAAAATACTCGCGAACAATATAATTTAATAGCGTCGGTCGGCACAATCTTTAGCTTTATTAGACCGACTATGAACTGATATTGGCCAACAACAATCTTAACAGTCGCCCTAAGTCATTTAAAAATAAATCCGAGTTTTTCAGCCGTTCTAAGTGTAGTGTATCTGGATACCAAGTACTGGCACTTAATGAAATTCTTGCGGTCTAGCCGCCTTTCCTGCTAAAAGTGGCTAAGATATTTCAAGCTAAATTTAGCTTTTCTAGGATTCTTGAGCATATACTGAAGTGTTGCGTGTATAAGTAAATGAAAAATAATATAACGTTCTTCTACATTGTCTTTCAGCCAGCTTCGTGTGCCAGACATACGTTTTCCAACACTTTGTGCACCGAGCGTTGCCACCTGGTTGCATTGTTTAAATTTGACAAATTGATTTGGCATTTAGTTAAGCGTATTCAGCACTAGTTATATTATTCCTTACTCAATTATTGCTATTCAAGATGCATTCGTGTTATATCCTAGACGTGTTTATTCAGTAATCTTCACACAAATTTCTATTGTCTTTAATTTTGTCATGTAATCAAGTTAAAGAGCTCATATGCCGAGTCAAAGAGGGCTGTGTATTGTTACACCTTTCGGCTAATTGAATTTACCTGCTAAATTTGCTATGCATGCTTTAATTTCCCAACCCAAGACTCGATTCATATAGCTACTGGGCGTATCAAATTTAATTGGCCCCAGCAACATGTCGTATACGTAATATGCGTTTGCTTATTGCTGTTGTTTCTATGGAATGCTTTTGTCAGTTAGCTGCTGTCATAAATTGCAAATAACCAGCAGCATTGTGCCCTGCAGATGTATACAAATACAAGCACATATAAACACACGCATAAATTGTTCCTGACAATTATGTTAAAATGACTAAACAAAAGCTACATATCATTTGACATCAAGTCAACCAGGTGGCTGCAATATGCTTTACTATGCACTGACTATCCTTATGTTAAATATGACGATACATATATACATATATATATATATATATATATATATATATATATATATATATATATATATATATATATATATATATATATATATATATATATATATATATATACATATATGTATATATGTATCGTCATATTTAACATAAGGATAGTCAGTGCATGAAATTATATATGTATATATATATGTATATATATATATATATATATATATATATATATATATATATATATATATATACATATATACTCAATCATTTGCTTAAGAGTGTTGAAATACAAGCAAATAATTTCATCGAAGCCAACGGGCTTGTCTGATTGCTGTTGTTCTGTTCGACTCTCTGGGCAATATCTACATATTTGATTGTGATTGGCATAATGCTATTATATAGGTGCTCAGCAGCTCAAGCCCATGCAGCTCAGCGAATGCAACGCAATTGCATTGCTGGAGAGCAACAAAATCGAATTGCCCATAAAATGCGCAACAAGCAGCTTTGGCCATAAATCAATGCAATCGAGCGCACAGCAAGGACTCGCTTACCAAACGGACCTCCTGCAGTTGATATATGGATGTCCCCCTCTCTTTTTATTCTTTTTTATTAAACAATAAATGGCCTTAAATAGCCAGCTGCAATTGCTCAATACCCTGCTGCACTGCAATGTATACATATTAGTTTGTATGTATATATGTATATATATTATATAGTCAAATAGACCTAAGGAGAGTTATAATTATTTGTATTTCTATCTCTCTCGCTTTCTCGCTCTCTCTATCTGTCTCTTTCACTTATGACAAGTGCAGGGCATTCCCAAGTCGTTTTGCTTGCAACTTTAATTCCTTTCTTAATTAAGCTTTTTTCATGCAATTTAACCAAAAGTATTTCACGCCGCTTTCTTTTGCAGAACACCAATAAAATAAAAGTAAAATGTATGTGTGTGCGTGGGTGGGTGTGTGTGCATTTGCATGCACAGCTGCACACGCTGAATACGCGGAAATGCCAACAACATCAACACATTACACGAGCATTACACACATACATATACATATATATATAAATATACATATATATATAAATATATATATATATATAAGTATATTTACGCAGAATTGGATCTTAAACTACAGAGTAAAGTACGTTACGCAGCGTTCTCGTCCGTCAGCTTATGAGATTTCCTCAGAATTCAATTAGTGTTTGCCATTATGATGCCCCTGATACCTGATCCTTGAGGAATTCACTAACTAATGGCTAATTTGTTGCTCAACTATTGTATTTGAATAGGGTTACCTAAGTGCCCAGTGCTATATTCACAAGGAGAGCGCCTAAAAGTGCACTACACACTTTTATTTCATTTTATTTTAATTTGTTGTTGTTGTTGCTGCCTGCCCTGGGGTGCAGTTGGGCACAAATTTTGAAGCTGCTTTCGTAACGCCGACAACAACAGCAACAACAACAACAGAAAACAGTGGAAAAGCGTTTATTGAAGTAACTTGCTCTTTATTTTTGCGCTGGGGTCACAGCTGTGCACGGCCCCATGGTGCGCTCCGTGCTTTACGAGGCTCTTAAAGCTGAAATAGAATTAAGAGCCGCTGAGTAGTCACAATTTTTGTACTTTGTTCATTTTTTATGGCTTTTGGCCGCCACTTTGTTGGGATTTATTTTACGTTTTTATATTTTTTTTTTTCATTTTTGGTTGGCTAACCAAAACTTGCTCACAAATTTGCGGGGCATTAGCGTGCATTTATTTAATAAGTACCTTCGAATAATTATCATAATTATCATTTAACTAATAATGGTCCATTATAGCAGCTGTAAACATAGCCAACTTTTGCACATTTCATTTTCTATTTGCTGCACTGGCCCGTTAAGCCGTATGCGCAATCTGCGTGGTAGCTGCATACTAAGACTGTATTAACTTATGCTCAATAGTAAATCGGATTACATTAAAAGCTTAAGTTCTTTGTATTTTCAAATCCTGTTGAAGCACTCATTTTCCATTTGCAGTGCTGTAAGAGTTCCAATAAGCTGAGCTAACTTAAGTATTTTTAACTCTTACATGAAGCGCATATTTTCCATTTGCATTGCTTTAAAAGGTCCAATTAGCTGGACTAACATAAGTATTTATGTCTTCTAGTTGTTTTCCTTCATGCGCATCTTTTACATTTGCAGCGCTGTTAAAGTCCCAAGTAGCTAATTTGAGTATTTTCAGTGTTATTAATCGAATAAAATTTGGTCACATTGCTCTTTCGTTTAATAAGTAAGAAATACAAAACTACTTTCCAATTATTAATCAATGGAAATATTAAATCACAAACATTTATTTATTTATATCCGCAGCACAATCTGCTGAAATTATAAGCTCAACCCTTTATTGTCAATTATATATATATATATATATGTATATATATATATTCATTCATTCGTTTGTTCGATAGCTGTTTAATTGAACGGAATTCTAAATGAGCGAGCGCATGGCCATGACAATGGAAAATAAGTTTAATGGGGTTTGGGTCGGGTCGGGCACACACTAGTAGCACTCCAATTCTCGGGCTGATTGCAGGTTTGTTTGGCATATGGTTTACTGCTATTAAGTAAAACAAGTGTTTGATATTGTTCGATTGAATGCACATTTAATATAGAAATCATAAAAGGCTTCTCAAAACACACATAAGTTAACATTTAGTTAAACATCAAACATCATGATCGCGAATATATGTCAAACATATTTTTATATATTAATATTTTAATATTATATATATATATGTATAGTTTTAGATTTTAGCGTCTTTGACTGTGTTGAAGCTAAATCTAATATATATATTTAAATTTACTATTTTTATTATTATATACATCAATCAGTAACTCACAGAGATATGTCATTTAGGATCTTAATTACGTTTCGACTTATTTTATTTTGAGTTTTAATACTTGTGGCGGGCATTTCAAATAATCGAATCGACTTTAAGAGCTCTTTCGTTTAAATTCGAAACTTTTATGGGGAAACAAAAAGCTTTGTTCTATCGATAATGGGGGTGTTATTTTGTAAAGGGTGCTACTAGTACTCAGAGTACTTTGATAAGTTGATTCATTTGCTAAACTAGTTTTACGCTAATCAGATCATGGCTGGTTGGGAATAGGTATCTACATATTTATCTATTTAGCACACCCTATGGGTCTTATTGTGTCTGTGTGTGTGTGTGAGTGTTCTTGTGATATATCTTATATACAGCAACAGTTTTCTAAACTTGGACATTCACTGTGCCTAGCGCACATCTTCTTACAGCTGAGCTAATGTATTTGAATACATACTTTGATACAGTGCTTAGCTGGAATGCATCTGTGGAATGCTTTTCGCTTAGCTTAGCTATTGGTTAAAAGCGTTTTGTGACAATGCTTTCCCCTTTGTAATAATTTATAGCTAAACTGAATACAGTGGGTACTCAGCATATGTACAGTTTAATTAACTACTTCAATATAAATAAATACATTCAATTTAATTGGTTAACATTTACCTTTGATTGCAGTTGACATTTATAAAGTTTAAATTCGTGTTTGCTTAGCTTATTTTAAATGTGTTTTTATTTTCTTTTCATTTAATCTCTTTGTCAACGCTGTGCATTTAATTCAATAATCTTAATATGCTTTGAATTTATGTGAGGGATAGGAGGCGAAGACATCCTTGACAGACCCTGTGACAATGTCTTCTGAGTAAAGTAAAAGTTTTTCTTTTTTCTTTTTTTGTTTGTTGCTCAAAGGTAACATATGTTAGGCGGGTGCTGAACGGAAGTGGAAGTTGCCGCCAGTTCGTTCATTTCTCTTCATTTTCTTCTGTTTGCCCTGCGGCCAGGCTATTAAAGTTCAATGAAGTTTCAACGGCGTGCGACACTTAGGCTTAGCCCATCAACGACCCAGTCCCTAAGCTAGCCGGAGACAGACTTGGCGTCAATGAAGTGAGCTAAAATATTTCCTCTGGCCATCAAATGGCCATAAATTCTTAAATGTCGCGTCTTGCTGTTCTCCTCTGTTGTCTCCGTTGAGAATCTGTCAACCTCTCCACCTACCCGTGTCTTAAAAAAAGCACTAAAAATGTTTGAGGCGCGCGCTGCAAAGTGTTCTTCAAGCTCTTAGTGAGTAGGTGCTACTAATGGCACCATTACCTGCTCCTCCTGCCTGGAATTCCCCTCTCACTCTCTGTCTTTCTCGCTCTCTCTCGTTCGGCCTGCCCTGTTGCGAATTTGTCGCTTACTTTGTAGCCACATCACAAAATTACGCTTTAAACTTGCCCCACAATGAAACTTTTTGAGCCAAATAGCTTTCATTATGGCTGCTGCTGATTGCTGTTGCTGCTGTTTGATGTGCCTCAAGCAGCTGTTTCGGCTGCTTCAAGCCTTGGCAGTAGCCTCTTGGCGGGGCGTCATTTACGTGACCAGCTGAACATTTTTCATTTTGCCACAGAAAATAAATCCAAATGAATCAACTTTTCAAATAAAAATAGCAATCTGTTCAATGCCAGCAACAGCAACAACTAATACAATTCCACACAACAAAAACAACTGTTTTTATAGACTTTGCGTACGTGTTGAATTTGGCAGGCTTCTCACATTTGCGGCCCGAAAATTTGCCATAAATTAAACGCCTAATTGCGAAAATCGCCAAATAAACAAATAAACGAAAGTTCGGCTTATATTGATTGCAATTTGCTTGATCAAATTTGTAGCTACAACAACAATAGCAGTAGACATTTTGTCGCGTTTATTTATGGACTTTAACAGCGCCAGCCAATATGCAATTCAATTTGCTAGCTTAAAAAACAATTGAATGGCATAAAAATAGAAGAGCTAAGGCCGAACAAATTGACGACTTATTTTAAGTTGTAGGTCTAATCAGTGTTGCCAGAGTTTCAAAACAGAAACCATCAGCTGTAAGAGCGGGCTGCTACTTTTATTAAGAATTAGCTCAAAATGTAGAAAAGCGTAAAAAAAATAGGGTTCCAAAACGATCTGGCAACTCTAGCAGGCTCAAATGTTAATTCGACAACGAAATTATTTTAATTGATATTCGCTGGTTTCCTTGTTTCATATTTGCCTCATAAGTGTTTAATCTATGATATTAGTTCATTAAAACTACAGCTATGATGCACTATTGTTCTGTAGACTCAGCAACACGCTCATAATCAGCCTAGGGGTTAGCCAGTGCATTATAGCAAAGGGAAAATACAAAATACAAATTCTTTGCATTTTCTCTTTTGAAATTCCTTTGACGCACATTTGCAAAATCTGCTATGCTTCGTTTAATAATCCCATAATGGAATTGGGCCGCAGGGCAGAGATGAAGGCGATGTGGGGCGTGGCACTGAGCAGACAAGCTTAATACACCTTGAGCACCGCAATTAGAGAACTGTATGCCTGTGGCGGCAGAGCTGACCAGCTGCTGGCTGGACTCGTTACGAGTGCGAGTGGGCTGTTTGGTGGTTAGGTGGTTGTTCGGTCGGGTGGGTTAACAAGCAGTTGTCTGGCTTCGGTTTGAATGGCAAATGTGCTCAATGGCTGTGCAAATTGAATTTGAAATTAATTAGAGACTTAAGCCATAATATACACCGACACACACGATTCGAGCTGTGCGTGCTATGTGGCCTGTGGATGCTACCAAAATTTTGAGCTGTTACGCTTAGAGGTTGGCCGTTGAGTCGCTGTTCGATTGCGCCTTGAGCTGCCTCGATGCTGGCCGTTGAGCGTGTGTCCTGGCATCAGCAAAGTCCACGCTGGTGCATTTGATTGGCGGCGGTTTGAGATTTGTTAGAGGATTGGCGTTTGCCTTGAGCTTACCGGGCTTGACGGGCGTCTGCTATCTGCTGGGTCGCCAGGCGCTGTTGTTCGAGTAGCGGCAGAGCAACACCTTCTTGAAGGCCTGCCTAAATACCTTGTTGAAGATCGTATAGAATATGGGATTCACCATGGAGCTGGCATAGCCCAACCAGGTGACCACATCGAATACCCAATGGCTGATGCGCTCCTCGCATTCCGCGCACACCGATGGCAGCAGGTTGAGCACAAAGAACGGCGACCAGAGAATAACAAACGTAAAGAACACCACACCCAGCACCTTGGTGGCCTTCTGCTCTAGTCGTATGATGCGGCCGTGTCGTGACGAGTTGCGCGAGATGACGCTGGAGTTGCGCGAATGATGCGACCGCACTGTCTGCTGTCGCTGCAGCAGACATGGTGACGAGTGCGGCGTCCGCGACTTGCCGCTCTCTCCACCGCCCTGATAGTTCATGTTCTGGTGGCTGCGCAGTGTGGCAGAGCGGCGTAGCGGCGTTGTTGCTGTAGTAGTCGTTGCCGTGCTTGACGCCGTCTTGGTGGGCGTGAGCAGCAGTGAGGTGCGCGCACCGCCAAAGCTGCTGCCACGGCGCCGATGTCGACTCGAGTCCCAGGTGACCACCGAGGCTGTCTTTGAGATGCTCAACTTACGGCGACCAGGACAGGGTGTGCCGGGTGCCGCCAGATAGCCGCTGCCATCACTGTGGACGGTCAAGCAGCTGCCCGGCGGCTGTTGTGCCGAGTTGGGCGACAAGGTGTTCGCCGATGCACCACCAGCAACACCACCGGCAGGACCAGCTGCTGCCGCTGCACCAATACTTACGCTGCTGGTGAGGACGCCCTTGTTGTTGCTTGCGCTGCATAGAAGCAGCTCCATTTCGCTGGGCGAGCTGCTCACAGCCGTTGTCGCCGTTGTGGTGGTCACCTTGAAAGCGGATGATATGATCTTCACCTCTGCCGTTTTCACACAGCTCTGCAGCGGCCGATCTCCGAAGTAGGGACAGGTGCACACCGATGGCAACTGCGGGTAGTCCGACTGCTGATTCGAATTGCTTGGCACGCGAAATAGCTTGCCTGGCTGCGACTCCACCTCCGTGTCCGAGTGACAGCTCTTGCTCATGGATGAAGATTTGGACGTTTTAGCTGCTTGTCTCTCCAGTCCTTCGTCGTCGTCCTCCTGCGCAGCAGCCGCCTCCTCGTTGTTATCGTCGTCCTGGCTCTCGTGCAGCGTGTTGTGGTGCGTGTAGAGCGCATTTTTGGGCAAGCTATTGTAACGTTTGCGTCGCCGCAGCGTATCCTGATCGTCATCATCGGCTTCCTCGCTGCCAGCGCGTCGCTCACGACCAGAAACTGCTAACGAGGCGCGTCTGCGCTTCTTGTACGAGCGCAGTCTCTGTGACAGTTGCGAGAGTGTGCTGCCAGAGAGAACGAAATGTGAAGAGAAGGAGTTTATAAGATGGAATATATAGGCTTAGGGTCAAAAATTGAAGACTCTTTAAAGGCTCTTTTTGATTGACTGAAATTCTGATATGCAAATTGCCAGAATTCATGGCCAATGATCCATAACATTTCAATTTCCCAAAAACCAAACCAATTTTCGTCATGAATACCGTGCATTTTATTTAAGCTTCAGCACAAAAAATTTAGCTGCCCTTTTTTCAAATGTATTTCCCCAGTTTCACGCGCCTCTTAAACTTTTCGTATACTGAATTTATTTTATTTTTTTAATTAAAATTGCTCAGTCAATTGGCAAACAGAGTGCCTGAAAACATGCTGCCTGTCCGAAAACATACACAGCCACACCCTCACACAAACACACACATAGACACACGAACACGTGTAGCACCACATGCTTTGTGGTCACCTGGCTTTGTGTATGCAGAAAAGTAGGCAACACTTTTTGCTGTTTGTGTTTACAGTTGCGACTCGAACAGAATCCACAAAATGCGCTTTGTGGCGCGCACTGTTGTTTTTTCCTCTGCTTACCCCTCTCTCGCTCTCTATCTTTCTCTCTCGCTCTCTCTCTCTTTCTCTCTCTTTTCTTAAAGCAAACACTTTTGTACTCGCTGCCGCTGTTAGCCCGCTCCCCTCGCTTTATTCTCATTTGGAATTCATTTTAATAAAGGGCACGAATTTGAGCACTGGCTTTTGCGGCTGGCTTTCAGCTTTCAGTTTTCAGCTTTCCGCACGCCGCCATTTGTTTTGCATGCAAATGTTGAAGCAGCCGCAACTTCATTTGCGCCTAATGAAGGCGTCGCGCAACAGCTGTGGGCGGGCGGTGGCAGGTGTAGGTTGCGAGTGTTGCCCGCTCTCATTATGCATCCTTGACGCTTTCTGATTTGGCTTACGTGAGACATGAGACGCGCGCGCATAAATTGAGGTGCAGTAAATGACAGTTGCCAGTTGCCAGTTACCAGATTGAAGCTACTGTGGCATGCGGCTAAGAGGTGTCCCATCTCATTATGCAGAAGCCAGACAAAGCCAAGCAACTGCCTGTCGAGTTTATTATTGTTTCAGTCACAAAGGAATTAAACAGTCACCAAGCTCATCAAGTCAAGCTAACTGGCGAGGCGTCAGCCAATGCTCGCTCTGGCTCAGTCTCGGCTAATGCATATGTTTCTTCTTCGCTAGGGTATATATAAGAAATCTGAATTTTAATCATCACTTGCTCACTTCTCGCTGGGAGCTCCTGTCAAACATAAAATGGGAAGACCCATAGTCAATCAATTAACAGCCAAACAATTAAAGGACCCGGATCGAAGTGCCACAAAGGCAGGCCTGACAGCCAAAGGGCTCACAATATACATTTTTCTCTTAATAAAAAAGGACACAGAATAAAGGAAATCCATTTATTGATTGCGTGAATTCGCTCCACTGTCAAAAAACTGCCAAATATGAAGGCCAGCAGCAGCTGAGCCTGGAGCTAGGAAGAGAAAAAGCAGCAGAAAAACTGAAGCCATTTGGCATTAAACGAAATCTAAATTAACTATAAAAATATTAAGAATTTTTTTAACATTTGCTTAATGTATATTTGGGCTATGTGAATGAAATTGTTTCAGCTTTGAGCTCATTTGCCGGGGGATAATTTGAATACTTGGAATATCTATTAAGTAAATGTGTTAAATAAAAAATTAAATTAGTTTTTCTTGTTTTGTTCTCTCAGAAATGAACAATTTTAATTGGGTTTTTGCTGCTGGTTCATCGTCAACTAAAATGAAATGATTTGGCCGAGGAGCATGAAGTGCTGCCGGTGCAGAGCGTTGCTAAAATCACTTGAGAGAACCTTTTTCGTTGCTCATTCAAAATAAACGAAAAAAATTAATTATTACAAAAAATTGCACAACAATTCAAAGGCGGAAGGACAATAAAAAGGAAAAGCCCAAAAAACGATTCACAGGAGAGAAGCAGAGAAGGAGAGGAAGACCGAAAAAGAAACTAAATAAGTACGAATTGAGCTGTTGGCTTGGCTTTTGATGCGGTCAAGCGAGAGGCTGCGCAAAGGGGCGTGGCGGCACCGAGAAATGCTCGAGGATAATACGCTTGCTCACTTTGCGTGTGTGTGGGTGTGTGTGTGTGTTTGTTTGTTTGTGTATGGCATTAATGCTTGCAGCTGTTTGGCCTTTTGTCAGCCAAAGAAACCTGAACTGGCGGCATTTAGTTGAGTCCCTGCCGCCAAAGGACCCAGTCAGGAGCTGCAGCTCCACCCTGAAGCGCTCTTTCTAAAGATGCTCTCCCCTGTCTGCGTTTATGTGTGCGCACACTGTGTGGCAATTGAGTTTCAAGTTTCAATTACTAAAGTATAAGAGTAAGCTATATGGTTACTTATTCCCTGTATGATTTCATAGGGATGTAATCAAGTGGAAGGAAATTGTACAGCCTATATGCCTATAATATATATAATATGATACCCTGTAATATTTTTCTCGATTCGTAAACCCGTCATTGTTAAGCTCTCAAAGCAAGCGTAAAGCATAGCATAAAGTCGGACTGTTGCTTTTAGCAATTTCTGCATTCTGGTTTTTTAGTGTGTCCTTTTTATGAAGCGTCCTTGTGCCTAATTTTCGCTTTAGAACATTTTCAATTAGGTTTTCCGCCCACTTACCCATCGCTTTGCTCGCCCAACCGGCTGCTGGCCAAGGAGTTGCGCGTGCTCTCGCGCTCCAGACCAAGCGTTGTGCTGGACAGGCCCAGCATGTTGCTGCTCTGTCTGCCCTTGGGCGACGTTTGCTGTAGGTAGCTGCCTCCGTGAGCATGTTGCAGGTGCTGTTGCTGCTGCTGCTGCTGCGACTGTTGCTGTTGCTGTTGCTGTGTCGAAAAGCGCTGCGGGCTGCTGGAGTAGGGCAAGTGATTTGAGATGGAAAATTCGGATTTTGTGGGCGAGCCCGTTGTTGAGGACGAGGCGACAGATTCCAGGCCACGTGACAGCTTCAACATCTCCGCCCCAAACTGATGCAGCGCCGTCATCGTCGTGGGCGTGGGCTCCGGTATGCTAATGGATGGGCAATTGAAACTGGTTCCTTGAAGGGAAATGCCATTGCAATTTGTTATGCCTAACTCTTACCTGGAGTCGGGCAGCCAGAGCTCATGATTGTCCAGCGTGCTGAGATCCGTATCCGTTGAGTTTGCCGAGTGCGCGTGCAGCACCGTAGAGGCTTGGCTCTGGCCCGGCTTCAACAATCGGCGCCAAGTGCAGCGCCGCTCTGCAATCGAATAGCAAAAAAAACCTTTAAGCTGCAGTCAGCGCAATCATATGCTAGGGCTCCGAAAAAATCACATGCCCGCTTTAAGCCAACTAAATGCGCTTATAAATTCGCACGACTACACACTCACACACGCACACAAACACAGAGAAAAGCTTTGCTACGTGCCTGCGCCAATTTCAGCTGCCTTACAGCAGATTTAGCTTAAAATAAGTGCACAGAAAATAACACACTCGTGCCCTGTACTATGGGAAAGCCAGACTGTTTATTGATCAAAACTCTGTGTTCCTTGAGTAATGTGAATTTATATAATATAACTACGTAATATACATCAATATCTGGTTAATAAGTTGAAAGTATTTTAACATAGCCTGCAACTGTTAAGATAACAGATGTTAGTAACAGAATTGTGGATATTGTATATTTCTAATGCATACATCATAAATTGGATTATGTGTTGCTAAACGTATCTTAACGTAGCCTGCAGCTGTTAAGATTACATATGTTGTAGCTGTTAAGATAACAGATGTTAACAACAGAGCTTAAGGCATTGAATCGAATGCTTTCCGCTGCTCTAGAATGCAACCTGCTCTGTTTTGAAATATTTGACTCATTTAACATATTTCATAGACTTTGGAATCCGCTCTTGTACACAAAAATATAAGAAATAACTAATGGCTTCCACTGTACACACTCGCACACTTACACACAGCGCTGCATTAGCATTATAGAACCGTGGCAATGCGCTCGAATAGCTGCTCGTGCTCTGCTTCCCGTCGTCGATTAGCTATCAAATGGAACTCAACTGCAATGCAGCAGGAACAGCAGAAACAGAAGCAGAGGCAATCGCCGTGCAGTCAGTGCTAAAAGCCCATTAAATATGTTTAGTTTTATTTTTATTTTCATTTCGATTTTGATTTTGATTTTGATTTTCATTTTATTGATTATTGTTATTGGCGCACGAACTGCGCTTCCGACTGCAGTCATCGAGATTTTTATTTGGCGCATTTAACCTGAATGCTGAAAGGGCGCAAATTATGTGCTCGAAAGGCTTCAAGCTCTGCAGAAACTCAGCAGAGAAAAGCAGATTACGCTGGCTCGACTGGCAGCTACTCTGTTTAACGTGCGTTTACCCAGCATACATCAATCAAGTATATATGCGCATGGTTATTAGTTGTCTGTAATGCCCTCTCTTCATTATACACCTATCGAGAATTTCAATTAAATCAATTTCTGTTGAAAATTGAACATTATTTTGCACTCGTGCAGTGAGATTTATGTAACACGCCAGGATACACACGCGTCCGGGCTGCAACACTGAATTCGGTTATAAACTCATAACATACACAAGCCCAATTCCTGTCGATAGCTGAAGTGTGCATTGCTGTGGGCCAGACGCCTAAGCAGGCTTAGGCATGGCTGGCCATGGCTGGCAGCCTGGCTGTTTGCCTGGCTGTTGCTCCACCCCAATGTGAAATTCGTAATATGATGTTTTGGCTAGCTGCAAATCACATTAAATGTCGACAGCTGTGCGGCAGTGGGCGCGGCGAGTGTCTTAAATTTACATATGCATATGCACTGTGCGAAAAGCAGAGCTAGTTTGCATACCTACAAGTTGCTATAGTTGTATTTAGTGTAGAGTAAACAGCAGAATTATGACTAAATAGGGAAGGCTCCTTTAGTGGTTAGCTATGCAAACACTTACCCAAGGCTGGAGCCTGGCCAAGCCAGCCGCTTGCCCAGCCAGGCGTGACCGCTGATGTGGGCTGGCCGCCGCCCAAGTTTTGGCGCTGTCTGGCCAGTAGTCGGACGGTCAGACAGTAGGTGAGGAGCATCACGCCCAGCGGTATGTAAAAGCAGACAATAGAGCCGACCAGCTTGTAGACCGGATCCGGTATCTGACAAGTGCCATTCACCAGCACCGAGGCATGATCCTGTCAAGAAAACAGGATGTTAAGCAAACCGAAAACCTAAAAGGCGTAAGAGAGCATCCTGCGGATGCTTACCTTTGAATACATCAGGCTGAGCGGCAGACTCATGGCGATGCTCAGCAGCCAGACAAAGACAATCTTGAGCGTGACGCGGCGCCTGGTTTTGTTGCGGCCAAAGCGCATTGGATAGCGCAGCGACAGATACCGATCCACGGATATGGTGCACAGATGCATTATGCTGGCCGTGCAGAACAGTACATCCAGGCATATCCAGGTCAGACAGTGCTCCGAGCTCAGGGGAAAATGGCCTGCACAAGCATAAGAAAAGAAAGTACAAGAATTGGATAAATAAGTTTGTCTTTGGCTTTTATTAGGCGAAATGTGCTTATAAATATCAATAAAACATCAGACGTCGAGTCGATATGGAATGATTCAAAGATACCCTGCACCGAGTAAGGAGCACACACATAGCTTTGCCGAAGTCCAAGCACAAAGTGTGAACATGTTTCGAAGTCAAGCCAAGCCTATAACTTATATGTAGCCAATATACCCCATATGACTAATTCAATGGGTATCAAAGGAAAATGTAGTGGTCGAAGTGACTGCAATATTTTCCAACTAGCCAACGAAATAGGCGGCCAACTGTCGCCTGGCCATTTGATTTGATTTCTTTTTGCTTCCAATCCTTCCTTTTCGTTTTAGTATATTTTTCCCCGCCTTCGACCACGGCTGTTCCCTGCTGGCTTATGCAACATATTTGTGGCAGCTCCCTCATATGAACAGCCTCAACCGGAACGCCACTCGCGACAGTCGTTTGGCGCAGCTGTTGGACGTCATAACTCAGCGAGAGATGCTCGACAAGCCAAGGATGGCCAACCATAATATGTTGTACAGTTGTATTGTGCCCCAGACGATGGGGTGTGTGCACAGCCCAGACTTATCCCCAGCGAATGTGGGTGTGCTTGGAGTGTGTGTGTGTTTGGAAAGATTTGTGTGCAGGATTTGGGGCTGAAATTTGACTGGGCATGAATATTGTAACGCAGCTGATAGAGGATTTCGCTGGGACTAGAACAATATGAAATACATGACTCGAGCTGCGAAGTGTGAGTTTATTTAAGGTATGCAGACAGGAGATTTACTTAACATATTCGAATACTATAAGTGTTCTATAATAGTGTAAAGCGAACACAGAGCTCTAATCGGTACGGCTCAGGATTCTGTCTGGCCTTTGGTATTTCCTTTCACACTTGACTTTTAAAGGTTTCTCTTTAAGGAATGTTCAGCCTTTATTCTTCTAACAGGACTGACAGCTTACATTTTCTATACTCCTTCTCCTTGCCTATTCATCAAACCTGGCCAGCACCTGTACAGCTCTGCGATACGTCTTTCAGCTAGGGTATCGGAGCAAATTGTTCTGGCAGCATGACAAACTACCTGCCAATCAACTGTTGCTGGTTGAGGGCATTCATAATTCCTGTTCCGTTGGCCATCAGCATTTGTCAAGACCTCTATAAAAGCGCTTCAATTGCAAGCCATTCTGAGCCGGGAGAATGTTCAATTGCCCCAGTTGCGCTGTAGGTGTAGGTGTTGCAAATGATACGGTCATTGAGTTGGGACCCCCAACGATTTATGAAGGGCCTAAAGTGTCAATTAAATCGATTTGGGACGCCCTTAAAGCCAAAGCGTGGCCAGGGCCATTGAAAATAAATTTGTTAAAGCGCCGAGTCAAAGGGAAGGCAGCCCGAATTAAATTTATATATATATTTAGCGTGGAGGTAAGGCGAGTTGCTGCGGGTAGCTGAAAGGTAACAGACCTATAACGGATACGCATGCTACCAAAGTTTCGTTTCCTTCGATTCCTGTTGCTGCACGGTCACAAAAGGACCAAGCTGCATGCCTGAGGTTTGAGAACTGAGGTCTCGGGTCTGAGGTCCGCCAGCGACTTGGGGGATACGCTACGCTTTTATTTGTGTTTGGTTCTCTTTTATTTTATATATAGCTCTCTCTTTCTCTCTGTCTCTCTCTCCGTCCCCTTTCGCCCCCCTTTCTTTAGCTCAGTTGTGTTGTGTTTTGTTCATTCACAAAAAACATTTCAACTTACAAATGCGAAACAAATTTCAAACAAAAGCGCAAAGTTCTGGGCTCCAAATAAATTTTTAGCTGATTTCTTTTGTGTGTGTTTTTTGCTTTGTTTTGCATACTCTTTGGGTAAAGGGGGCGGCACGGGTCTGAGGGGAACATAAAAACTAAACTCAAACACAAATAGCAGCTAAAAGCTGGGCGTCGAAACTTGCCAACCGAAATGACTTTCTAAATGCGTTGAAACTTATTTAATTTGCAGCAAGTTTTAGTGGGCCGAATGGAGGGCGGCCAGTCCTAATAATGACTTTTATATTTGTCAAATCTACTTACGGGCCAAGGCCTTATATGCCAGAACGCCCAAAAATCAACTCATCACGGAAATACGATGAAATTTTGACTGTTTTATTCGAATACCCTGTAAGCATTGCAGCTGCGAACTGGCTAATTGAAAGTAGCCCTAATTATCAAATATTAAACAAATCAAGCCATCTTAAGATTGAGTCTGGCATATGGATATAAGAAAGTAGTCAGTATATATCTGTGAAATGCAAATGAGAAGCCCACAGAACCACAGAACCTCCGAGGCTCAGCTCTTCATTCAGCTTTTCATTTAAGTCTTATGATATATTCCTGACTTAAGGTGCACAAATCTGCAAATACGAAGAGCTGCAGCTATCAGAGAGTAGATCAAATCAACAGGAGTATTAAAAGAGTTTGCTTTTCGTACTAACCAGACCTTTACTAGCTAATTACCCAGCTCTACAGAGTAACTTCTAGTCGACGCCTAATGTTTGCTCTGTTTCGTTTTGCGTAGCTTTTAGCACGGCGCGACGGATCGCTGCTTATGACAACATAAGCTGGTGTAGGACCAACCCAACAAACGCCCGGAACAACAAAAACGGCAGCAACGACAACGACAACGACCAACAAACAACAACAAATATTTGAACACTTTTCTGGGTTGGCAAACAAAACGCGTACAGCGCTCCAAACGGCCAGTGGAGGCAACATTGAAGCTTTGACGCTGCTGTGGGAATATGCCAAAAAATGATTTATGAATGGACTAAATGCGCAGTTGTTGCTGTTGTTGCTGCTGCTGCTGCTGCTGCTGCCAAGCATCGGTTTCAATTTAAGTTCGAAGTATCGCTGCAGCATCAACAACAATTAGATACAGTTTGGCCCAGTGTTTGCGATAAGCTAAAAGGCTTCTCCCCTAATTCGCTGGAAGTGAATTTGGCTCAGTGCGAACTATTTGCATTTTATTCAGCAAGCTTGTTTGCCTTAAGATTTCTGTCTGAAATTGATTGAAATCTGCCTGTGACGCGCTTCAATGGCCATAAAATTAAGTGTGCAAATCGAAAATCGCAAATCGTAAGTCGCAAATCTTAAGCCAATCAGCGCAGTCAAATATCAAACACATAAAACCCAACATCGACAACGGCACGGAACAACTTGTAGAACTCGATATCTCAATGATTTGTGTCAATAAAGAAGCTGACAAATAAATGTACATGTAAAAATGACAACAACAGGAATTGCCTAAAAAATATAAATAAAAAATAAAAATAAAATAAAAAAATGGCTTTGTGTGATATTTTGAAAATATTCTTTACGATTATAAAATAAGCCGAATAAGCCGAGCACCCGGCTTTATTTGGCACTGTTGCCTTTGTTGCTCATGTCACGCACAGTCGCCCGGCCAATTGGCAACAATAACAATTGCCAATAACAAATCGCAAAGGGCAACAACAAAAAAACACATTTCTTTGGCATATGACAGCTATTCGGAGATTTGAGGGCTCCAGCTTTGGGGGTCTCATGTCGCGAGGCACGCCTGAACAGACAGCAGGCAGACAACGCGCTTATGAGTTGTGTGAGTTGGCCAGGAGGTGGCACACACACACACACAAACACTGCCACAATTTGCCGCACATGGCTAATAATCAATCATTTAAAGTGTTGCCTGCTTTTGAGTGCACGTTTTAAACCTCCCACATAATTGGCTTGCCTGCTGTTTATCTTGCTCTCTCCCACACACTCACTCTCTCTCTCTCCCTCTCTCTCTCTCTCTCTGTCTCTGTGTATGTCTGTCTGTGCGTGTGTGTGTGTGTGTTAAGTACCCGCGGCGCTTGTTGACATGTTGTCACCTCCGCTGTCAGCAAATTTATGAAATGGCATCACAGCCAACTCCATTTCCTTGCTTTGCATTAGGAAAAAACCCCACTGGGTTTTTCAAATATACGCACACAAGTAAATACATGCACACATATGCACATCTGCGCATTTGTATGTATGCCGAGTTAACCTTTTTTTTATACACCTACATAATGTCGCTGTATACATTTTTCGTGACTTTTGCCGCATCTGCATGTAAATATCAGTTTCGTTTCGCGCGCGCCGTTGACATATTTGCATGCATATGCATATGAATTTTGATACACGCATACACGCACACACACACATAGACAGAGATACATTTAAAAAAAAAGAACTTTTACATGTGCAACATGTATTCGCTTGTATCTCTGACCCCCATGAGTTGTATTTTGGTCTGTTTGGCGTTTCCTCTTTTTTACTTGAATCCACTGTGCCCATTGAAAGTGCGCGAATAGGGCATATTCGTTTGGTGAATAGACATATGGATGTTGCTTGCTTAGAGCTTTTCAAGAAATAAAGAGTTTTTAGAGACACCTTCCCAATGCCAGCACATATATATGCAACTTCAGAGCATCAAGAGATGCTGCTTATTTGGCATATATTTAGATATTGGGTATTAGATATTCAAAGCTTGTATAGGGTAGCTGATACTTGTTTGATACTTGTAATACGGAACTTCGTGCGAAATTTGCTGTCAGCTCAAAAACTGAATTCGAATGTTGTCGCAGCTGTTGCTGTTATTGTCGTCGTAGTAGTTGTGCGTGTGTGTGTGTGTGTGTGTGTGTGTGTGTGTGTTTTTGTGGTCGAATATTTGCGTTGAAAGCGGCGACAAATGTCGCCATGCGGTAAATCTCCAAAGGCTAGCCATATGCTGATGGCTAACTATAATGAAAATATTGAGACCGCTGAGAGTGTTCGAAGGACTCGCCGGCAGGACGTGTGTGCACAAATAAGCTCAAGTATGCAGCGTAATGATAATTTAATCAAGCACACACATACATATTTATAAATATATATAAACAATCAGAGCTGGCCAGGTGACAGCAAGGTCCACAGGGGCAGCCTGTGC